AAATATACAGATAGCAAACCAAGTATTCAATTTTGATTGCGTTCGTAGTACGATGTTTCAATCGGGTGTGCGCTGGGTGATGGTTGACATCTAAACACCAAATAGTGCGCACTCGCATGCACAAAGATTTGCTAGCCTCCTCCACCCGTAATCAGGCACACATACGTATCATGCTCTCTTGACATTGAACCAGTCATATAGCAGCTTGCAGCAATGTAAATACCTACTATCACGCACAACTACGAGGTAAGCGAAACATGCAGAGGGTTAAGCTATCATTTTTATGTCTCTCAACAGTTTACTAACCCAGCGACAGACCATAGTTAAATCCGGCAGCTCTAGCAGTCTATTGATTCACGTGCATGGGCGGATTGTTTACAGTGGATAAATCATATCTCAAGTCATGCACATTCTATCCCATCACATCACATCAGATGGAATAGCTGTTTGAGCATAACATTGGCTTGCCAAGCCGATTTCCGTACCACTGGGTATTCGACAACTTCACAGAAGAAGAACTGACCGAGATCTTCGAGACCCATCTCAAGTACCAGCCACGCACAGTAGCTCCCAAGAAGAAGGCTGTGTCCAACGCAAAACCATTGAGTGCCCCTCCAGCTCGACCCCCCGCATCAGTTTTGTGCGGTGGGGGGGGTGTGAGTGGCACATGATTGATTATGTCTGTATGGTCTCGTTGGAGCGAATGCGTGTTCGTTTTAGCAATGATATACATGCTTGACCAATCACGACGCGCAGATCTTGTTCAATGAGGAGTTAGCCGTCGAGATCCCAATTTCACCTATATATTCGCAAAGATCTTAATTTAATCCACTGTCAACCTCGTCTCTTCCGTTTCATATGAGGCGAGCTCGATGACGATAAACATTGCAAGTGCAGAACTTACTCATTAAAGACGCCCAGTACTTTCATTTTCTATGATATCACAACTGGTTTCCTTTCGATTCCGTACGTTATAGGCCTACCTGGCATGTACGGTAGGCTCGGAGACAAGTGTATGGACAAGTTTAACAATGAGGGGACACACGATGGCACAGCATGGCTGGATAACTACGGCAATACCATGGGCTACCGGCCCGATGACCCGACGTTTGGCACAGCCGCAAACCCTGTGGTCGAGGTGGCCACGGGCATGATGTGGGTATACAGGTGGGTCAATAAGCACGCACACAAAGGCGGTATACGTATGATTATACTAGAGATGAAACGTATGAATATACTATAGGTAACCAATTTATACGTATACTAGAGATGAAACGTATGATTATACTATAGATAACCGAAATATACGTATGATTATACTATAGGTGACTGAATTGCTAAGCTCTCGATACTATGTTTTCCTCTTTTGTTGTCTGCCACAGATTCATCGCTGGTTGTAGCTATGCGCACACTGAATCGTGAATTATTCTTTCAAAACCTATACATTTCATTCACTTTGCTAACTCCATTCCCTTTGCTAACTTCTAAAACCCTGTTCATACAACAAATGCGTGTCCAATAGAGATAGCGATCAGGTGTGGGTGTCTGGCGTTGGCGGAGCGAGACCATTACCCCGGCGCAAAACCAGCCAAGACTGGAGCGGAACCAGGTATATATATTACAAATACAATGCAGGGTATCATATCTTTTTGGGCTCCTTCGGGTTTGTCCACAAGTAAGCATGCATTTTATTATTGAGAAGTTGATTCAATACGTTACATCTCTAGTATGCTTTGGTTTGTGACGAGCAGGATGTCCGTAAATGTGATAAATGCGTAGCACTCAACCTTGATTTGTATCAGTATATCTACCGTCCGTCTATATTGGGCCTAAATTGGTTTATTGCGTTAATGTTATGCTGTCCAATACTCGTTCAGAGCCGAGAAATCATGGGTATGACAATACTGTGTATAGTAAACAAACTTTATATACCGGGTAGCTTTCAGGGCTCCTGAAGACGTTCTTAGTGTCTACCCTTAGAAACCCGCATATAATTAGGGCTCAACAAACGCCTTCAATAAGTTTTCGCCGGATATCGCGACATGATCATATTCATAAAGAACCCCAAATTTGACTACCTCTGAACCGATGGTCGTACCTAGTGACACGCGTTCCCGTTACAGTCTCGTCAGTATCAGCAGTCATCCACCAAAATTGTGTTTTCGTATTATACTTAAACTTCTCAGTTTTCTTCAACATCGTATTCATATGCACGTAAAATGCGCAGCTGTGAGCACACGACATGCAGTGGTGGGACATACAGCACATAGCCAGATGTGACAGTTATGCACTTTCAGCAACACCCCCAAATATCTATACAAACTGTGTAGCGATGTGCTCGCGACACACAGCAAACATCTACAACTTGCGATGCAATTGTAGGCTTACTGGTAAAGCGCTGGATAGTACTACGAGCATACACGGAATTAAAGCTATCTGAACCATCCCGTATACGAACAAACAAACCACTTGACCTGCAGGTGCCCTGCGGCCCATTCCGTTCCGAGTGGCTGCAGATAAGGACCAACGCATCGCTATGCGACGCATCTCAAAACGAAGTGGTCGCGAGGGCTTTGGAAACGCTCGTGCTGTACGCTCATACTTTGAACAGGTGCGTGCCTGAGAGAGAAAATACACCAACAAGCGATATACATATAGGGCAAACTCACCACAATAGCAAATAAGTATCACAGGATATTGTAACCACAGGAGCAAAGGAGTATCACAAGATATTGTAAACACTCAATCCTGCAATGTATCGAGATTGGGTAGGAATGATTTAAATGAAACGTGTATCTGGTATACAAGCGGAAACATGCGCGAGGAAGGGTGTACACGAGAAAAGTTTCAGTTAGCACTGAGAAAGGAAGACTGCCAAATCATCTACTATACAGTATTGTGAAGTACTATGGTATCTGAATTTGCGGACGCTTACGCGCGTATTGAATGTGTTTGAGTGTTAGATCATATTAAAGCCTATATGTAAATATGTGCATGTGTACTATCGCATCGGAAATCGTAATTTATCGCAAGGGTTTATACCATATAGCGTGTCAGCGTAGCAGGGTTTAGTCGCCCCTTGTGAAAATACTACACCCGTGCTCATCCCCGTACTTCGATCAAAAAACCTTAGTTCTATTCGCAGTTGCTTTACAAACCGTTGGCTATAGTTTGCCATCATTAGCTATAGTTTGCCTCGTCGATCGCTAAATCTTTTAATGACGTACCTGACACTCTCATACCGTAGTATCGCCACCATTCAACACATAATTATGTAGACCTTGCCTTTGGTGGGTCATTTTCTTGGAGATTCTTCTCACAATCACAACTTCTGTATTTGGACATAGAATGGGATTTTATATCAGGTGCGTGAGAGACAAGCCGAACGGTATGTGCAGGAGAGTGGAAAAGGGCTCAACCCAGACAAGTTTCTGTTCACCCGTGACGATCTTCTAGGTCCCAAGGTGATGGACGAGCTCATTAAGAAGAGTGAGGCTTACATTGCCCTGCACAAGATGGTATATTGTGTGCTGGTATTTGTAATGTGATGGAATGGTTTATGTATATGTGTATATGCAGTTGTGTATCAACAGATTTATGTCGGTTTATATACACGTAACAGATTCACTATACACACCTTGTGTTCATCAAAACATGTGTGTACACAAATCCGTGAACGTTGGGTTCTTCAAACTCACACTACCACATTTGCCATGAACTTAAATAACTATAAGATCTGAAGCCTTATCAACGCACGCACGTAGACCCTTTTAACATAGACCCTTTACTTATTAGGAGGGTCTAGTCCCGGTCAAAGAGTCAATAGAGGGGTTGATCAGTCTGAAGGTAGGTAATGCACTACGCGAAGACCAGGAGAGACCAACCCAGGATGTGGTACTCAATCGTGTCTTCCTTGGTAATCCGGGAACAGGTTCGTAATTTCGAATACAACTGTATTCAGGCACAAAGTTCGAAAAGTGTCTTTGATCACACATGTGTTATGTGTATATTGAGCTTAGATATACGCATTAGACGTGCGCGTGCTACCATAATGGCATATGCGACCATATAGCACATGTTAAACAGCCTCCGCTATTTGTACTTTGTATGTCGTTTTCTTAAAATTGTTCCAGCAGGCTTTTGCTCACATTTTGCCCATGCGTTACACACATACCTTCTCACTATAAAATCCTGCGCACAAGCAGGGAAGACATCGGTAACCAAGATATACGCACAGCTACTGACAGCACTTGGCATGCTGTCGAAGGGTGATGTACACCTCAAGCTTGCCTCGGATTTTGTGGGCGATGTCATTGGAGCCAGCGAAAAGAAGACCAGGGACATCATTCAGATGAGTTCCTTGCACTCTGTCTCGGCGTACGCGTAATACAGTATTGTATGGTGGGCGTAACACGAACAACGTACAATATCACACTTTACAAACACAAGCCACTTTCAAGCACCCTTGTTGTGCATCACGTCCGTGTGCGCTTCGCAACACAATTTATATACCCAAAATCTGACTATGCATTATTATAGGCTGCTGAAGGTGGTGTGTTGGTGATCGATGAGGCGTATGCGCTGGCCGGCAGCGGAAAAGGCTTCACTGATCCGTATCGTACAGCCATTATCGACGCCATTATTGAGATGGTGTGAGTAAACAATCACTGTGCGAAATTGCATATTGTTACAATTCAGTACTTGGCGACTCATACAAGGCGTGTGCATGAATAAGTACCTTATTTGTATACATGTCACATCTATATCCAGGGTATTTACACCTGGGCAGTAGTTTCGCACGTGTATTCGTACAAAACACGTTTGCTGCAGCCATTCACTCAGTTTTGTCACTCGATACTTAAAAGTCATTTGTAAAAACTGGATAGTTTATACTAATTCGTTCTCACGACTGTATTACATTGAATTTGATTCTTTTTCTGGTTAGTCAAGCTACACCCGGTGCCGATATAGCGGTTGTGCTCCTTGGCTTTAAGCAAGAAATGGAGGAAATGTTCCGCACTGTCCATCCAGGTGTGTCATAACTCTGCAAGTCAGTGTATCATTACATTTTGGTTTGAATGCTTGCAGTGTATCATTACATTTTGATTTGAATAGTGACTATTCAAAGACTTTGTATCGCCTATTATGTCAATGTGTATATCAATATCCGTCTCTGTAGTACACACATGGACAAAACATTTTGTTCGCGACACTCGTCAAGGCAACTGTCTTAATATAAATATATGGCAAATACCTACATACTGTTGTCGTAGGACTTGCGCGTCGATTCCAAATGGAGCATGCCTTTCACTTCCCCGACTACGACGACTTGGCACTAACCAAAATACTGACTAAAGCTGCAAATGAAAGGTGAGGGGATGGGTGCACAGACATGTCTATATGCGAACGTTACTCTCCGTGTACATTTAAAACATGCAGGCGAACCCCCATGAATAGATATTGATGGTACATACTTGGATTAACACAAGCGTCAAAATGAATTGGCTCAACAGTATCACACAATCATATTTAAGTCACCAAATTTTGTGCTGAATCTGACCGTGGGCTATAAGTTTTTGTTACAAAATCTGTGTATTCATTCTTACTCCACACTCTTTTCGTGTAGGGGCCTGAAAATAAGCTTGGATGTGTCGTGCAGAGCTGTTCGTCTTCTCTCTGAAGCTCGCGCAAAGCCTCACTTCGGGAATGCAGGTACGTAAACGCGATGAATACGAGCACAAAGGGTCGAAGTGCCCGTATCGGTCTGCTTGTAGTAGTTTGGATCTATATATGTAACTATCTTTCATCACAATTGCACATTTCAATATTTTTCATTATTAAGTATTATATTTTCGGTCCCAGGGCTGGGTATGCTCAAGCAGCTTCCATAAAAATACATACACACTACCCACACTGCCAAAATAAAATGCTCTTATTATACACATACACGTCCCACACCCATAAATACCATACAAAACTCATAGTGCAAGTAGAACACATTACACAATCCAAAACGCATAGTGCAAATATAGCTCACAACACAGTCACCAACGCACATTCAGGCGCTGTGCAGAACATGCTCTCCACAGCTGTGCTGTGCATGCAGAAATGGCTGACACGCGAACGCACAGAGGCCTTAGCTGCCACTGTTGACTTTGGACCACGTCCAAAGCTGAGTGGAGACATGCTTCTCCTGGAAGATTTCAATCTGGAGGAGGAAGAAGGCCCTGATGAGCTTTTCTTGACATCGCTTTTCCGGTAGGTATATTGTCATGCCGTGTATATTCGGATTGCTCACGTCAATGTTGGCACATCCGCATGTGGACCACTGGTCTGCTCTAGATCCTCATACGTGTGGCATTTGTGCGATGCGTATGTTCCTTCTTCGACATATTGGCCGGTAAGTATACATACTATATGGCTGGGCTGATTTCCAAACGGGCCCAAACGTATACAGTCTCTAATCATATACATACAAACCCAAACCGGTTTGTAGTACAGTAACAAAGCAAATATTTATTTGTGCGTGCATCGATCCATGTTCGAAGCTGTGATGATTAAAATCGATGTACAGGTGAAGTAGAGACTATTCTCATATGCGCACTATC